AGGGATCGGCTTGTGTTGTCCTAGAGGGAGCGCAAGGCTAGTGTAAAACCCCCAGAGCCCACCTCGTTCGGGGCGGACCAGCACTGCCCCCACAGAGAGCTGTTGGGGAGGTTCGGTGGAGTCGAACAAACGGTGGCGCTGGCGGCCGCAGCGAGGCCTTGCTGAGCGCTGCCCTCTCTGGGCGTGCTTGGTTTCATCTGGCTGTCAGACGGTGCCTCCAGCAGCCGTTAATAGCCGGTTGTGTAGTAAATAACCTGCAACGTGCGTTAGTTTTTCTTCCTGCCCCTCCCCCTTTTTCTTTCCCAGAAGAAAAACGAAAGAGCAGGTTCCTCTGTCAGTTCACTTGTGCCGGCGCTGCAAGGAACGGGCGATACGCCCAAGCTTATTCCTGGTTTTTTAAGTAGTAAGCATACTTTTGCCCTGTGCCATAGTTCTTAAAGCAGATATAAATTGGGTTTTGTGCTGTTCCTGAAAGGGCATGATGTTTTTAGCAGAATTTGGTGACTGTGCACCTGAGGTTCTATAAGCTGTTTGAAATTCTATTTTGGATACAAGCTTGATATTTTCATATTGGTTGCTTCAAAGAGTTTTAATGTATTTGTAACGTGCCATTACTAAAACTGAAAGAATCTGCTATTTGAAGAAACCCCTAGTTATTTGACAGCAGCGGTGAACAAACGTAAGCACTGTTCATGGCTTCGGCTGCCCCACCCCGAGGAGCGGCAGTGGGTAGGGAGCGCTTGGCGTCTTCGTGCCGCCTGGGAATGGCGCCCTGCGGATGAAAATAAGAGATCCTTGGGCAGAGCACGGTGGGTGAACCAGCTTGGAGGGCTTCGAGCTGGGGAGAGGGGTGCTCTCCAGAAGTCCTGAGATCTGGGCGCTCCTTTTCGCTCTCCAGACCTCGGTCCCGTGAGCCCTGTCACGTCTGGGTGGCGCTGCCGGAGCGGGCGAGGCCGTGGCAGGGCGGGTTTGGCAGCACCGGGGCAAGGCTGGCCGTGCCAGGGAAGGGGTGCTCAACGTGCCGGCCTGCCTTGGCACGGGGAGGTCACGGCAGGGGTCGTCCATGCTGGGAGCACCAAGGCAGCAGTCCTGCCTTTCCAGAGTGTTCCTGCGTAGTGTCCGGTGGTGATGTTAAGCGTTTTTATTTATTGGATTTGGATTTCACAGTTTGAAATAAACCAGTTTCTAACTTTCTCTTAGGTGTGTGTGCAAGTGCTTGCCTACCTCCTCCCCTCCTTCCTTGTCAATGTATTCAGGGAACTTGATGTGAAAGTTCCTTTTGGTCAAAAATAGCTGTTGAAAGCCAAAAAAAGGAAAGTCAGACGTAGAGCTTAGATCCAATTGCTTTGGGTATCTAGGGAGACCTTGGTGCATTGTATTAACATCTTTTATCATTTTGGATACTGGCAGCTGCATATTTTCCTAGAGGCTGATGTCCTTAAGTCCCGGTACTGGTTTGTCAGTAAATGCTCCTGCTCTCAGTGGACGGGGACTGCAAAAACAAACCCCTTGAGCTTTGAAAAGTGAAAGTAGCGACTGAAGCACGGTCTGGTCAGGGTCTTCAGAAAAGCCAAGGGGCCTGGAAACAGCTAGGTTAAATCAGTGGCTTTAACTAAACGAGGCTTCTGCTGTAGGCTTCTCGCGGGTGAAGTCGCTCGGTTAGGAAGCGTTCGTCTGGAAAGCTGCTGCTGGCCCCGTCGGGCTACGGGTGGGCAGGATGGTGAGCGCCTCCGGCACTGCACTAACATGCTGCTGGGGAAAACGGCTCCCGACGGAGCTGCCACCTGCAGCAGGCTTTCCAAATGCAAGTCCTTAAAGCCCGTGGATGAAGCTCTGCTCTGCGGTGAAGAAGTTCAGCTGGGAAGGATGCTGGATGGTCCGCAGGGTGATTGCAGTGAGTACTTGTCCCTGAGGGGAGTAATCAAAAATACCGGCACGTGTTGTGCTTCTGAGAGGTGCTGGTCTGCGGAGCGCTCTGTTCAAGGAGTAGTTTGTTGTGGTGGCTTGAGGTTTGGAGCAGAAAGATTGTGCTTGTGCAATAGCGTGGTAAGGGACGATGTGAATGGGTTGTTGGTATAATGTGGCTGGGTGATGTGTCCTCTGCGTGCGTGCCTGTGCGGGCAGTCAAGTTGCTGTAGTTTGGTAACCGACACCTTGGAAGGGCACCAAACCCAAAACACTCTCCTGGTTGGTTTTCGGTCCTGTATTCTTGTGCAGAGTACCACAGCTCAGCGTTGCGTCCAACTTTATGTTCCCTTCATTCTTTTAAGTTCTTCAGGAAAGCTTAGGGGCTTATTTAAGTAGCTGTTAAATACAGTTTGGGGTGTGCAGTTCCCAACAAACATCTCTGAGAAACTGGAATTTTGCTGCAGCTGGTTATGCCATTTCCAAACATACCTTTGTCAGACTTAACTGTGGGGACATTTTTCCAGGAGAGGTACCTGGTGCTGAATAGCAAAGTACAGGTACATGGAGGAACAAGCTGCAGTCTAATAGCGAGGGGGGAAAAAAGACACACAAAAAAAAACCTTCAGAAAATGTGCCTGGCTTGTTTTAAAGGTCAGAAGAATTTTCACTCCCTTCTCTGCAGAATGTGTGTGAAAAGGACAAATTGAAGGTATTAATGAATGAAGCAGAACTTTGTGGTGCTGCATTTAAAGCTGTAACACCTCCCTTCAGTGCCTACGTAGTATCTCGTTTCTCATTTCAGCTGTTCTGACGTGACAGGCAAGCTGCAGTTAGAACCATGCAACCGTTTAGGTTGGAAAAGACCTTTAAGGTCGAGTCCAACCGTTAACCCAACACCACCATGCCCACTAAACCATGCCCCAAAGTGCCACACCTACACGTCTTCTAAACACCTCCAGGGACGGTGACTCCTCCACTCCCCTGGGCAGCCTGTTCCAGGGCTTGGCAGCCCTTTCGGTGAAGAAATTTTCCTAATATCGAATGTAGTTGTGGCCGTTTCTCTGTACTTGGGTACCAGATCCCCAAACATGGATGACAGAGTTCTTTTTGCTTTGAATTTGTCTGAGGTCGACATTCTGGGTTAGAGGGGGTGCCTGCGGTGAGTGCGTACGGTGCTGCCCCGGGGGTGAGGGGAGTAGGTGAGCAGATACCAGGGACACGGCGGTGGGCTGGGTGCCCATCTTCTAATTCCACACAAGCTACTCTTTATTAACACAGTGTTTTACCTAGAGGTAAGTTGAAGAGCACCTTATAACAAAACCGGGGGAAGGTAGAGGCCTCAACTATCTTTGCAAGTACTGTTCTATTTTATTCTGGCCAGCTGTAATAGCAGTTCTTGCCGTCGCAGCGTGTCACGTGGGTGAGTATCTTAAAGACCATGGGACCGGTGGGCATTTTATGCTTCGAGCTGCCCCAAGTAAGCCAGGTGTGGAAGAGCTGGCAGCGTGCATGCACATGTGGTGCAGCGCGTGGTGCGGTGCCGGCGCCTCGGTCTGGAGCGAAGGGAAGGGCTGCAGGAGCCCTGGACCGCAGGAGCCTTCCTGGGGCGGTGGCTGCTCACTGCTCCTCGACTGACCGACGTCTGCCGGGTGGGTGAGCAGCCGAAGAGGAACGCACGGATATGGATGGGTGGGAGAATGCCAAGGTGCAGTCAAGCAGTGTTAATGAAAGAGGAGCAGAAGAGAGATGGCAGAGAAGCGCTGTAGATTTTTAGTTGCTCTCTTTCTTTTTTTTTTTTTAAAGAGACATTTTCTTAGAGCAGATGCTTCTGTGTGCTTCTGACTGTTTCTGTTTCCCTAAGCCACAGGTACCTCCGGGTCAGAGGTACATGTACCTGTGAGGTCAGCTGCTCCCAGAAGTACCTGGAGGTGTTGCTGTGGGTTTGACACTTTCTGTCCGCTTTCTGTC